CCCCAAAACCCCAAAACCCCAAAACCCCAAAACCCCAAAACCCCGTAATACAAGTAGAGGGTTGGGTTATAATATATTTTAAAAATGGAGTCAATGGGAGATGAGGTGAAGAAGTTGTGTTCTAGAGAGCTGAGAACTTATCTTGATGAGTGAGATCTTCTTAATGAAGTAGCTGAAAGATGTCATGTAGAGTTTGGAACACAAAGAATTGATTCAAAGTGGGTGTTTAGATTTGTATTTAAAGATCCAAGGAGTAATAAGAGTAACTCGAAGCAATTATCAAAAGCTAAGAAGCTTACAAGATTGAATAAAAGATTACCTTTGGCGACATCTTTAGTTTTGCATTTATTTGGGCAAAGGACTAATGTTATGACCTATTCTCTGTTAAAAACTTGCTTCAGAGATTACTCGATACATTCATATCGAAAATCAGATAGAAATATGACTAGCTTGAATTTAATTAATACTCTGATAGACCCTTTGTCGGATCTAAGGATGAACTTTATGTTGTTCTCTAAGCCAGTTCTGAGGATAGCTCCATACCTGACTAAGATGCTTAGATTATCCGGATTTGAATTTACAAATAAATCTCTTATGAAAATCATTATGCTCAGCAATAAATGTCAATCTCTGTATTTTCATATTTGAAATGTTCCAACAAGTGGATTAAAGCTACCAAAAGAAATTAAATCTAATCTTGATATTATCGAGTTCGAGGACATAAACTTGAACATGTCTCTTACTTCTTCAGAGCTCAATGAAACGATAAGATCCATTATGAAAGCTCTCTTCAACACCTCCCTGTGCGATACAGTAGATAGAATTACTGTAACTACTCACTTTGGTCTGGATTGGAAGGCATGAGAGAATGAATTGAATGTGAGTCAGAGAGATCTAGATGTGTATAATAAAGGTCCATTTATTATAATTTCAGCTTTGAAATAATCATCTGGGGTTTTGGGGTTTTGGGGTTTTGGGGAGATCGGAAGACACGTCTGAACTTCAGGCA